GCTTAGAGATTACTTAAAAAAAAAAAAAGACTGATGACTGAAATTCAGATTTAATTGGCCCGGGGTGCAGCCTAGGTGTGGGGATTTTACTATGAAGACAGAATTGATAACCACCACTAGGATCTTGTTCTGGGTATGCGCTGTTTGGGGAAGATGTTTACAATGTAGAAGAAACTAGCTTTTATAGACTCCTGTAGGCTCTTAGTTTTATCTTAAGAAGAATGGGAAGCCATTAATGGGTTTTAAGTAAGTTGGTGACATGATCTGATTTTTATTTGAAAAGAAAATCACTGACGCGCCCGGCTGAGCATGCGATTCTTGATATTGGAGTTGTAAGTTCGAGCCCCACGTTGCATGTAGAGATTACTAAAAAAAAAGTGAAATCTTTAGGGCTCCTGGGTGGCTCAGTCAGTTAAGTGTCTGCCTTCGGCTCAGGTCATGATCCCAGGGTCCTGGGATGGAGTCACACGTGAGCTCCCTGCTCAGTGGGGAGTCTGCTTCTCTCTCTGCCCCTTCCCTGCTCCCTCTCTCTCTCTCTCTCTCTCACAAAAATAAATAAATAAAATCTTTTTTTTTTAAGTGAAATCTTTAAAAAAAAGTTAAAGAAAATCACTTTGGCTGCAGTGTGAGAAATTTCCATAGGATAGATTCCTGGAAGCGGAATTACTGGGGGAACGATACTAACAATTTTGAGTCTTTGGATACACACTTTTTTTTTCTTTAAATTTTTTATTGTTATGTTAATCACCATACATTACATCATTAGTTTTTTTTTTAAAGATTTTATTTATTTATTCATGAGAGACAGAGGGAGAGAGAGAGAGAGAGAAGCAGAGGGAGAAGCAGGCTCCCAAGGAGCAGGGAGCCCGATGCGGGACTCGATCCCAGAACCCTGGGATCATGACCTGAGCCGAAGGCAGACGCTTAACCATCTGAGCCACCCAGGCGCCCCACATCATTAGTTTTTGATGTAGTGTTCCATGATTGTTTGTGCACAGCACCCAGTGCTCCACGCGGAACATGCACTCTTTAATACCCATCACCAGGCTAACCCATCCCCCACCCCCCTCCCCTCTAGAACCCTCAGTTTGTTTTTCAGAGTCCATCATCTCTCATGGTTTGTCTCCCCCTCTGATTTATCCCCCTTCATTCTTCCCCTTCTGCTATCTTCTTCTTCTTCTTTTTTTTTCCTTAACATATATTGCATTATTTGTTTCAGAGGTACAGATCTGTGATTCAACACTCTTGCACAATTCACAGCGCTCACCATAGCACATACCCTGCCCGATGTCTATCACCCAGCCACCCCATCCCTCCCACCCCCCACCACTCCAGCAACCCTCAGTTTGTTTCCTGAGATTAAGATGGATACACACTCTTAAATTGCTTTCCAGTAAGTTGCTGCCAAATGACATTCACCTTCTGTGTCCTCATACTGCTTCTTTGCCAACACTGAGTGCTTTTGAGGGTTAATTATTTCTGTGGGACAAGTACAAGAAAAGAAGCAGTTGTTGGAGCAACTGGACACAACCCCGGCCAGCTACTTTTTTTTCTTCTTCTTCGTTGGTCAAATATTACCCAAATAGCCATGTACTTCAGAGAAGTTGTAGATCTGAGTTCTAGCTGACATTTATTGTTTACTGTGTAGCAGGCACTGTGCAAAGCGCTTTACGTGCAAGATCTGTGTTAATTCTCTCAACATTTTTTTTTTTAAGATCTTATTTATTTATTTGACACAGAGAGAGAGAGAGAAAGAGATCACAAGCAAGGGGGAAGGGGCCAGAGGGAGAGGGAGAAGCAGGCTCCTGGCTGAGCAGGGAGCCCGATGCGGGGCTTGATCCCAGGACCCTCGGATCATGACCTGAACCGAAGGCAGACGCTTAACAACTGAGCCACCCGGGTGCCCCTAACATTTTTCTTCAGGGTCTAAGGTTCTGGTTATTGTGCTGCAAATCATTTTGGAATCTGACATAATTTGGTCCCTGCACCACTGTTAGGAAGTCAGAATGATTAATTGGCCACATAAGCCATTTGCTCATGGGTCCGAAGGGAGGAGAGGAGTGTTAACTCACCTGGGAGATAAAAACTACAAGATCTGAGGAAAGCAGGTCCAAGGAAGCTCAGAACTTACAATTAAGGAAAGGTTTTGGGAGTGGGGCCTTTCTAGTCACATTGCAAGACAGGCTTGCATGGTGTTGGAAAGAAGGGAAATTGAGGAAAAATAAATATTTTAGTCATTTATAATAATAGATGTATCTTTCTGACTCCTACTCCCAGAGTTCCTTGAGGACAGAGATGGATGGAGTCTTGATTACTGTCCTGTCCCCAAATGCTTGGTTAGTGGATGCTGAATAAATTTGGCTGAGTGTTGAATGAAAGAATAAATCAGGATTAGGCTGTACATTCAAAATTGATGGGAGGCAAATGTATTCATTATTGTTTATATAAGTAAACATTAATTAAAAACAAATAGAACTCAAATATCTTGTGGCAGAAATAATAGTCTCCCAGAGAGGACTGAGTGAGGGAACCCTAATCCTGGGACTCTATTCAAGAAGGGCTTTTTCTTTTCATAGAAGAGTAGGAAAGATGGGCGCCTGGGTGGCTCAGTTTGTTGAGCGACTGCATTCGGCTCAGGTCATGATCCTGGAGTCCCGGGATCGAGTCCCGCATCGGGCTCCCTGCTCGGTGGGGAGTCTCCTCCCTCTGACCCTCCCCTGTCTCATGTTCTCTCTATCTCATTCTCTCTCTCAAATAAATAAATAAAATCTTTAAAAAAAAAAAAGAAGAGTAGGAAAGAGGAAATGATTAACAGGGAAGAAAGGACACCTCTCCTTGGGACTCTTACTACAAACTCGTAGGACCCTTCCTCATATCCTTTCCTCAGCAAGGGGGAGATAGGCAAGTGTGGGGGTACCTAGGGCAAATTTTTGGATGGAGTGTGTACATGAGATATATCCCTCTTAATGTATGTCTTTTTTTTCTTTTAAAGATTTTCTTTATTTATATGACAGAGTGTGACTGAGAATTGGGGGAGGGGCAAAGGAGAGGGGGAGAAAGAATCTCAAGGAGATTCCACATTGAGCCTGGGGTCTGATGTGAGGCTCAATCTCACCACCCTGAGATCATGACCGGAGCTGAAATCAAGAGTCATACTATTTTTTTTTAAAAGATTTTATTTATTTATTTGAGAGACAGAGACAGAGAGAGAGAGAGTAGGACGGGGGAGGAAGCAGAGGTAGAGGGAGAAGCAGACTCCCTACTGAGCAGGGAGCCGGACATGGGACACCGGGCTGAATCCCAGGACCCGGATATCATGACCTGAGTGGAAGGCAGACGCTTAACCGACTGAGCCACACAGGTGACCCTTAATGTAGGTCTTATTTAAACTTTTTTTTTTTTTAAACATATGTGGATGGCTATGCTTGGGTCTGACCTAGTGGGGATTTCTTTATTGAGTCAAATATCAACCCCAGTTCAGAGGTTTCTTTTTACCTGAATGGGGGGAAGCGAGGTGAGGGGAGAAAAGTTCTTTTTCAAAATCTTAACTTTCCATCTTTTAAATCTGGCAGGATCATACCTGAGTGAGGGATTCGTGGGCATAAGCAAGGAGCCCAAGGCTGAAACGGTATGCGTGTGGAAATATCAAAGTCTTATGATCTTCAAGTACTTTAAGTAAAAATTTTTAATTACACAAAAAAATAGACTGTCTTCTTGCAACGTAAAATGGGTTAAGACCCTCTGTGTTGACATGAAGACACTCTTGACCATCCTCCCCAAAGGTAGCTCCCCTGTTTGATGTGCATCTTGCTCAGCTTTCCTCTGTGCATCTGCATCCACATTATGTATCAGATGCTTTAGTGAAATCTTTCCGGGGCACCGTGGGGTAGGGGGGGAAGTGCTCAGGTGTGCAACCCTGCACCTACCAGCCAGATTCTTTCCGGTGGGGAAGGTGGGCAAGTGTTAAGGTGGGAGGATTTCTAAGCACATTTCACATTGCAGGCGACAGGGATTGCGGGGCACAGGGGATTGCCTCTTTTCCCTCTATTTAGTTTTTCACAATGTGAAGAGACGGTGAAGGTGTAAGGACTCCATGGGCACATTTCAGGTGGGGGCTGGGTAGGTGGATATCCACCCTCTCTTTTTTATTTTTACTTTTTACCGTATAGGGTGGGGAAAATGGGCACACGTGAGCCCTAAAGGGATGCCTGCGTGTGCGCGCGCGTCTGTGTGAGCGCGCGCGCAAAGGGCACCCCAGGTCCTTTATTGGATGTCTGTTTACACCTGACTGCCCAACCCTCCGGGGTCTGGCGCTTTCTGGAGAGCATTTGGGAGGGTGTGCGCGTGGGGGTGGTGGCGGAGATCCCCTCTCCCATAATACCCCGCGGCGGGGCGGAGACCTTAGCGCGGTCCGCGGGGAGTGGAGGCGAGCTCGGGGCGCGGGAGGGCGACCCGCTCGCCGTGCCCGCCCGGCCCCGCCCCCCGTGACCGGCCCCGCCCCCGCAGCTGGCCCCGCCCCTCTCTCCTGGCCCGGCGGGCGCCGGCACCGCCCCTCGCTCCCAGCATGCCGTGCGGCAGCGGCGGCGCGGCGGGCGGAGCCGGGAGGCGGGGAAGCAGTGGCTGTGTGAGCGTGAGGAGCCGCCGCCACCACCTCCTCCTCGCCGTCCTCTTCCTCTTGGGTCTCGGCGTCGTGGGCCGCCCTCGGCCCTGGAAGAGACGTCGCCTCCCCTTCCTCCGCCTCCCCCTCGCGGCGCCACTCCCGCCTCCTCGTCCTGCGCTGCGGGGTCAGGCGGAACCCGGAACGGCCGTCAGCCTCCCCCGCCCTCCGCCGCCGCCTCCTCCTCCTCCTCCTCCTCCTCCTCCTCCTTCTTCTTCTTCTTCTTCTCTTCGGCTTCCTCCTCAGCCCCGGGCGGGAGCAGAGTGTCGGCGGCGGTCGGTTCGGGCGGCGACTCGCGCTTCTTTGGGCGGCGGCGCTTGGCCATGTCGTGTCGGGGAAGGTAATGAGCCGCAGAGCCCCGGGGTCTCGGCTGAGCAGCGGCGGCGGCGGCGGCGGCGGCACCAAGTACCCGCGGAGCTGGAATGACTGGCAACCCAGGTGTGTGAGCCGGCACCCAGTCCGCCGCCCCGACCCCCGGGCCCCGCCTCGGGCGGGCCGAGGCCTAGGGCCATCCGGCTGGGAGGCGCGGCCTAGGCCCTCCACCCCGCCCCGGGAACCGAGCGCGGCTTCCTGGGTCCCCTCCCGTCCCGGCTGGGGGAGGAAGGCCGTGGGAGGCGAGGCCTAAATGTCTCCCCTCTCTGCATTTCAGTTTTGGGGCTGGAGGTGAGACCCAGGGCGCCGGGCGAAGGCACTGGCCTAGGAGTTGGGTCAAGAATGGTGAAGAAAGGGGCCTGGTGGTGGTGGGGGACTTTCTGGTTACCACCCACCAAGTTGGAATTTGAGTTGGGGGATCCTGGGAGTCCAGGACCCTCTCTGTTACCCATTCACTTCTTGGTCCCTCACCTCTCAAGCCCCCATGTAAAAGAGCTCCTTAACTGTGATCTCTTCTGTGAGCCCCCCCCCCACGTGTTAATATTTCAAAAAACAAAACCCCCAACACTCGAGGGGTTTAGTCTGACTTTAGGCAGGGCAGTTGTGGGGCATGAAATGAGGTTGATGAGGACGACCACTCTCGTCCTGGGAAATGAAATTTTCTTCAAGTGCAGGAGCAGTTCCTCTGGTGGAGAGCAATTCATACTTGGTGTTTTTGAGCAGACCCTAAGAGGAGTAGAGAATTTCCTCTTGCATGGAGGGCATTTGGTCTCAGACCTCTTTGGAGCCTCCTTGGAATTGAATATATTTGGAGCATCAACTTTTTTTATATACACTTTTTGTTTGTTTCTGATTAATCATGGGGTACACTTGTGCCTAATTTAGGACTGAGTGTCTAGAAAAACTTCCTAAATGTATATAATGTTTTAGGGTTAGTTGATTCGTGGAGTTTTCATACTTTGAAGCACACTTGAATTATGATTGACCTGTAACTGGTCAAGTTAAGTGTTAAGACAGGTTGTTGGGATGACTTTGGCTTCCTGATGGTTACATGTAACTTCAGCAGTGCTGGAAATAATTTGTTAAGATGTTAGAATGTAACATTTTAAGACTTGATAGAAAAATCTTTTGGGTAAATGGGCGGTAACACATCTTAGTCTGTTTGATATGCCTTCCCAAATCCTATGTCTGTTGAGAACTATTTATATATAACTAGGTGACTTTAAAAGTTAATGCCTGACTCTAGAATTGAGAAGTTAAGTAGTTTAAAAAAAAATTCTTTGAAAAGCATAGCTTTACTTGTCCTTTACCACTTAGGGTTTGTGAATGCTTTAAATACAATCAGTTGACTAGTTTGAGTAATTGTTATCTGTAATTGATATTCTTAGTTTTATACTTTCATTGAAATGTGTGAAATAGGTTTTTTTTCTTGCATCTAATGAAATTAGATGATTAATGAGCTTGAATTTGACAGCTCTTTGACAGTGGATTTTCCATTATTTTGGAGTATTGTGGTCAGTGTATATGAAAAAATTTAGTATCCCTTTACAAGACTAAAGTGCCCCTCACAAATAATCCTAGAACTTTTGGAAAAGAATGAATTGTAGCTTGTAATTCTAAATAAATGGAGTAGTGAAGTTGCAGCCACCTGCTGGGGTCACTTGACTTCATTTGATAGATATGAAACAATGGCTTATATATTTATGGAATATATACATGGATGGTAAATATTATCCATGTTTTCTTCTTTCACGTGTTCTATTTCTTGGCTGTGTGTGGTGCGTTTGTTGGGGAGAGGATGTAAGCTTTCTTTAGAGCTATTCTCTGTAACAAAGTCTCAGAACTTATTGCCTAGGTAGAGGGATACTGTGAGATATAATTCATCATGGAGTTTAACATAACAGTTAGGATGTCGGAAATATTTGACTTTTTTGTAGAAGAGGGAACGGAGAAGTAAGGACAGTATCCCATAGCAGAACTTGATTGTGGGGTTGCCATAGTTGTTCTGTTAAACGTCAGTAAAGAACCTTGTTTGCCAAGTCATAATTTTCATAAGTTAAATTTAAGGTTGTTCTTTCCACTCTTCAGAAAGGTGACAGACTCCAGTTAACTGACAGAATAGAGGTTTGGTTTAAATAGATATTTATTTATTTTTCTAAACATCTTCAAAAGCAGGCAGATTGCTGCATGTGAATCATTTGGTTTTTAGAAAAATTATTTGCCTTTCTGTACCATTACTTCTCAGATTTTATTTTTATTATTTTCTTAGGTCTAGACTTTTGAACAAGTGGGGTATAAAAAAGCAATTCTTGTCGCTTTCTCTTAGTGTTAATTTGTCAGTTAGTTTGGAAACAGACTTTAGTCAGTCATGGGCACACGTGATCTTCACACATATTGACAGGAAGTGTTCCAGGTGGCTGAATAGACTAGTGTCAAATGGCAAAAGAGCAAGCCCATCTTTGCTAGAAGCCTACCTTTAGCAGAAAGCATTTATAAAGCACTGGTTGATAGTCTTCCTTTTCATTCACTATACTCTCAATTAAGATTTAAGAATGATTAGGCAAATGAATGGTTTTATCATTGCCACTAGCCAAAGTATGTTTTTTTCTTGACTTTGTTTTGGAATATAACCTTCTAGTTGTACCAATCAAGATAGAGATTGGAATGACTTTTTAAAAGTAAATATATAATTATTACACGTTTTATTATTCCAAAATGACATGACTAATTTGACATTGGAGTCAAATATAGTTTAGTTTGGAAGCATTCAGGTCAACAGAAAACAAGATTTTACTTCCACACTTTGGAGTCTTAGACTTTAACAGATTTATATTGGGTGTTTTACAGTGCCCAAACTTAAGATCTTTCTACAGTTCTATAATGATAAAACTGTATATTAAAAATAGCTTCCATTTTTGGTAGAATGTAGACATTAAAGTTTCAAAAGTACCAAGTACCTTTATTCTCCGTTGTCACAGACCAAAAATAGGAAGAGTGTTGTGAAGGTAAAGCCAGAAACTAGTATGTCTGGCATTGTGAGAAACTGGATTTTTGAAATCAGAGTTGTCTCTTTAGCCTTTTATGAATCTGTATACTATTTGAAGTCCACAGATAAATAATACAGTGAGATACATTAAAGAAAAATGAAGTGGAGTTACATATTTTATAACCATAAATAGAGCTTTAGTAGAATTTAATGGTTACCAATTCTGTACCACAGATTTTCAAGTACGCTATGGGGGTTTATCAGATAACTGTGTATGGGTGTTTAATTCGTGGGGAAAGTTTTTTTTTTCCATTATAAAATAAAACATATGCTTCATGAAACATTTGGCAATTACATCTTTAAATTGAACCTTTTTTCCCCTTCTGTTTTAGTTCCTTTTTAAGTTGGGACCATAACTGGATGGTATTTTAATAACAGGAGATTATGTAACATTCTAACGCAATGAAAATATTTGGCTTTAGGAAATATTGATCCTTGAGGGATTTTTATGACTAATAGAGCCACTATGTTTAAGGAGGTTATAGGTTAACATGGGAGAAAGGACTTGGGAAAGGTGAAGTATTATATGGATATTAATTGTGATATAATTTTTGATATTTTTATATGTAATAGAGTTTAAAACCTGGAGAGCCAGAGGATGAAAAACTGTGCAGTTGAGAAGGGAGCAGCAGGACCATGAAATTGATCCGTTTTGACAGTAAATTTGGGGGGTCTCAACTCCCCCCCAAAGTAAGTAAGGAAGTGGCAAATGCAGGTTGTCCTTGGTAAAAAATTTCCAGTTTGGTTAGAAGGTTGGGGTAGTTTTGAGGAGTGATACAGATAAGAGAGAGGTCCAGAGCTATATTGGAGCTGTATTGTAGGCCTTGAATCATAGCTTATAGAGACTGCTAAATACCTGAATATTCTGTTTGTAATTTATGATTTAAATTCAGACAACAGTATTCAGCCCAGTATGTGGGAATTTCCATAAGCAAAAGCCCCTCATGAGTTATCTGGTGTTGATTGAAGATGGTCGTTATAGTGGTAATTTTTGTCTGCTCACAACTCAGTTTAGGTTAGGATTCTTTTTTTTTTAATTTTTTTTAAAGATTTTATTTATTGAGAGAGAGAATGAGAGAGAGAGAGCACATGAGAGGGGGGAGGGTCAGAGGGAGAAACAGACTCTCTGCTGAACAGGGAGCCCGATGTGGGACTCGATCCCGGGACTCCAGGATCATGACCTGAGCTGAAGGCAGTCTCAACCAACTGAGCCACCCAAGTGCCCTAGGTTAGGATTCTTTTTTTTTTAAAGATTTTATTTATTTGACAGATAGAGACACAGTGAGAGAGGGAACACAAGCAGGGGGAGTGGGAGAGGGAGAAGCAGGCCTCCCGCCAAGCAAGGAGCCCGATGCGGGGCTCGATCCCAGGACCCTGAGATCATGACCTGAGCTGAAGGCAGACGCTTAACGACTGAGCCACCCAGGCGCCCCTAGGTTAGGATTCTTAAATGGAATGATCATACACAGAAAATATAGTGTGGTCCATGGTGTCTTTTTTTTTTAAAGGTTTTATTTATTTATTTGACAAAGAGAGACACAGCGAGAGAGGCAACACAAGCAGGGGGAGTGGGAGAGGGAGAAACAGGCTTCCCACTGAGCAGGGAGCCCGATACGGGGCTCGATCCCAGGACCTGGGATCATGACCTGAGCCGAAGGCAGACGCTTAGACTGAGCCACCCAGGCGCCCCCCATGGTGTCTTTTGTGAACAGTGAATTCTCACAACTTTTTTTTTTCTCCCCTATATTCCTTATGCTATACCTTTTATTCTTCTGAGTTACTCCAGAACTGGAAGCCTGTATCTCTCACTCCACTTCACCCATTTTCCCATTCCCCTACCCTGCTCCCCTCTGGCAGCCATCAGTTTGTTCTCTGTCTTTATGGGTCTGTTTTTACTTTTTGTTTGTTGGTTTATTTGAATTCTCACTACTTTTAAATTTAAGATTTCCTGCCTTCACTGCCTTGCATATAGTAGATATCTGCTTACTTGCCTTTCTAATTTTTTCAAATCACCTAAAAT